CCTTCCCTTTGTAAGTCCAGCAAATGGCATATGTGTAGAAAAAAATCTGGGTGAACATGCATCAACTCATTAGCACTGATTACCTGGAGAGAGCTTTTCTGGAGGACTTATACTTTCTGTGTTGTACATTTCAGTATCTTTTAAATGTTTTTAAAGAGCACATTTTACATACATGTGTAAACAGGAAAGAAAAACCAAAACACTTTAAAAATAATTCCAACAAGGAGAGGGAGAGCATTTTCCTTTCTCTTTTTTACAAATGTGGATTGCAGGTGCTAAAGGAAACATTTCTGTATCTATCACCTTCATCTTTGCAAGGAAGTGAAGGAGCTCAAACAGGTGCAATTTCCTGGGAACTTATATAATTAGAGTTCAGCATTTTTCACAGTTCTCAGCAGCCAGGGATAGCCAAGATCTGTAACTGCTCACTCCTGGAGTTGCTCCTATGGGGCTTATAGTCTCAGGGGTATTTGGTTTTTCTCTACGGGCAATCCTGTGAGCATATTAGTCTCAGCTTTCCAATTAGTTTCTCAGGAACAAAAATAATATTGTATCTTCTTGGAGCTAGAGTAGGCACTTAAGCATTAATTGATTGGCTGATTGATCACTGAATTCTCTTGGAAACTTTTTCTTTCTTCCTCACTCTGAACGAATTCTTCATTCTCCAGAAGTGTATAGACAAGTGCTACGTTCTCAGGACTTACTAACTGGGAGTAGATGGCAGTCGCTAATGACACATATGTTAATTAAATTTCACGAGGGCAAACGCACACTTCTGCTTTAATCCAGCTTCCCTCAGAGCCAGTTCCAAGAGATGAGGCCAGGAGAGCCTGGCCCCTCACACCTGCACAGTTCCAAAGCCACCTCTGACCAAAGCAAGCAGTAGTATCAGAAAACTTGGATGCATCAGTGAGTGAGGTCTGGGACTACCCACATCCTCTCCTCTACAGCTTTCCTGTACCTCCCTCCCTTGATCTCACCCAACCATTCCAGGTGGGCAACCGCTCCATCAACAGATAGGCTGTTGCTGCAGCATGATTTCTGCTTACAATCTCCCGTAATATCTTTCAAGCCAAGGGGTTGAACCAGCTTGAAAAAAATATGGGCTAGACTGGGCCTGAGAACAACTCCCTTGGTACAATGTTTTGGTCTTAACCTACAGTTGAGTTAGCCTTGTTCTGGTCCCACTGCACTCCGCTCACCCTGACAGGCTGCTCAGGATGGTGCAGCGTGCTATTTGCTGAGCCCATCTGGACTAGATCTAAACATGACTGTAAATCCTGAAATCTTCAGAATTTCAATGTAGGAGGGGCTTGGGTAGGGCAGTCTTGTTAGAAGGGAGGGGCACTTGAAGCTCATTTGCATAGGAATTATATGACTGAGAAAATGTCATTAGATAAACCAAAAATGAGAGGGGCATGAGGGTCACATACAACTAAATACCCTCTCCCCTCATCCGGGCTCCCTCTTGGCAACAGTAGATCAAGAAAAGGGCACAAGTACAAGGAGAAATCCACGTGATTTCACAACTGCCTTGCATATGGCATTACTTTTCCTCAAAAAAACATGGGCATTTACACATGTTCTCTAAGGGTACCCCTAGATTACCAGTAACATATCCATTATTTTCTCAAATGACTGGTATAGGAAATGACATTCTGCCAGCAAGTTGGCTAAAAGAGAGCCCTAGAAACTTTCTGCTTGAACCGACAATCTTTTGAAGCTGAACCCTATTTTTACAGGAGTCCAATCAACTACAAAAAGGAGTCCCTGTTGTATGTGCAGATTATATTTATGCAGGACTCCTAGTTCTCGGAAAACATGTCTATTTGACTTAAAAAATGGAAATAAATAAAAGTCTTTCCTCAAACTAAAATTGGAGAAATTAGAAGGCAGGACTGGGAACACTATTCTGAAGCTATCGATTACAATGCTAGGAAATGATCCTGAAATCTAAACGAAAGGCTAATTATTCTGATTATCAGATGGCAAAACTGATAAGCAAGTTCAGGAAGGGTGAATGAAGCCTGGATACCAGTCCCACGGAAGCTGTGCAGGTCCCAGGGCACCAGCTGACTTAACAGGCCATAGAACCTGCTCTGCACCCAGTTAAACGTGCCACATTTTTTGTTTTACATGTTCACATGTAACAGTTTTATTCTATAGATATGTAAGCACCTTAGTCTTTATTTAATAGTCTATATTTTTAAGTATCTTGCATTATATGTAATCCTAATGAATATTTAAAATCTAAACTTGTGAAACAAGTTATAAAATGATGTATAACAAAGTTTATTTTTAAAGGATTTCACTGTCATATAATCCCCTAGAACATTTAAAAAATGTGAATGTGAATTACAAATTCAATATATACATTACAGAAACTGGTAAAATTTATTATCACAAACTATATATAACTTTTGAAAAACTTATATGGTATAAGTCTATAATAAAATATTAGGTAGAAGAAGAACGGTAAAACTGACTTCTCAAAAATACAAATATCAGAATTTATTTCTCATTTATTTCTTTTATAAAAAAAGATACAATTTCAAAGGATGCTAATAAGAGATGATCTTTTAAAAACCAAGGTAAAAGACCTATAAAGCAGTAATTAGTCATAATTAATAAAAATATTTTACCATTGAAGAATGAATATTTTGGACACAGAAACTAAAAGCATTAAGAAATTATTCTTTATTTCTTGAACCCTGGTTTTGAAAAATTACTCGACTTTTCCTCAGGAACCCCAAGTACAAAATCTGAATAATAGACGCAGTTCAAGTCAGTGGGGTGCCACACAATATAACTAACTTTCACTTCACAGGTGGGGCGATGTACACAGTGGTGAGTCAGGAGTGGTTACTCATCTAGATGAAAGCATAATGCCCTGTATGCCCAGGATCACAGAATGTTAGACTTGCAAGGGGTCTCAGATTATCAGTGTTCTGGCCCTTTTGGTCAGTGTACATGTATCTCATAAATGGATGATTTAGAGGACACATGCTGGCAGCTTTTAATCCTTTTAATATCAGAAGGATGTGGTATGAAAGAAGCCAAATCAAGGATCAACGGATAAGCTATCACCTGTGCAAGTTACCATCTGCTTCATTTCTTGCTCATCTTAGATATTTACATTTTCTGCTGGACTAAATGGGGATTCCATCATGGTGGTGCCACCTGAGTCTTCATAGTGTTTCCTTTTTCTTGTCCTTCTAGTTACAGAGGAATAAACTGTGCAATTGTTTTTCTCCAGGTTGGCTGACCTAAATCATGTGAACATGTGTCCTATTTAAGACGTGTTTGAAATTGGGTTTAATGCTTTCTGACCTTTCATTAGGAACTTCTGGGTTTCTTTTTTCTGCACATTTCCTGGGACTCTGTGCCCTGCTAACTCTCAGGGTCCTTTACTGTACTCACGTTGTTGGCTTCAGTTTTACAGAGGACGGATTTACCATATTCAAAAACCCTTTCCCTGGAATTGATCTGAGTTTGAAAAAGCTGGGGCTTGAAGTAACCTGTAGGAGTATTTTTCATTCTCATCCTTGTACAGCTTATTTACATTAGTGGGAAACATTATTTGTCTTTATTTTTCAAGGTGACCCCAAAGCATCCAAAACTGGATCTCCAAGAAGTACAGCATGTACCCTCTAATGAACTGCCAAAATCCATGTTCTTTAAAAGTAAAAATATCAGGACTATGTAGTTATTAAAAAGAATGAGCTCAAGCTAAGTTCTGAGATTTGATGTTTATGATGAATAGGAAAGAAATTAAGTCATAACAGTAAGTCTGTGATTCCATTTAAAATATTTACACATTTATTTGCTTTTTTTTTTTTTTTTTGCCTGTAAAAGTCACAGAATGATGCACACAGGAGTGGCATCTAGAGAGTGGGACTGTGGAGTGTAGATGTGTGAGGAAGGAGACTTGCACTTCTTCCTTTACTCATTTCTGAACTGTCTGGATTTTTCACTGAGTATATCATTAAATTAAATTCCTAAAAATTAATTAGGAAACACATTTACCAAGAATCCTTATCAATCTTCACTGCATTTAAAGTCCGGGAAACTGTTACCTTCCTGGTTTGACAGGCTCCACGGAGAGTGCAATTCCCACCGGACATTCCTCGCATACCAGTTCTTTGCTGGGCACCAGGCTACCAAGATGAATAATACCTGATCCATGACAGGATGGAATCTGCCCCAGAACGCAGATAAGAGGCAAAGTGAATTTGGTACAAATGGGCACTGTCATCACTACATCGGCTCCCTTACTTGACTCACAATTGGCCTTCCGTAGTCTGCATCTTTTGGCAGCGCAATTGGCAGACGTCATCCTCTCATTCTTAAAAGTCAAATTTAGGATTACGACTCCAGTTAGTACAGCGAAGCGGGAGCGGGGGTGTCCTTGGGAAATGAAGAAGTCCCGTGAACATACCCACCGGAGTACTCAGAATAGATTTTGCAGCTGCACATAAATCCTGTCTTGTCGTCTGGAGTCTCTGCTGAGTAATGTAGATTATAGGACTGCCGAGGGGCAGCTGCTGACTTTGAACCAAATTTTACCTTTCAACTGAATCCAGGGAAAAAATTTGCAACAATGTGGCAAACAATGCAAAGTGCTATGTTGAACGTTAGATTGTGCTTTATTTTTTCCTCCTAACTTCACGTTTCCATGCACCAAAATGTTGATGCTACAAATATTGGATGCCAAGCTTACCTGATAGGCTTCTTCCATCCCACCTGGACGCCGGGGCTCAGAGCGAGCGCGCGAACCGCGGCTGGAGCCCGCCTCTCGCGGCCGGAGCGGGCTCAGCCGGCCGCGGGTCCCCTCCCTAGCCCGGGTGCCGGAGCCGCTCCGCCGCCCCGGCTCCCGCAGTCAGGCCCCCGCGCGCACGCGCGCTCCCCTCGGGCGGTCTCGGTGCCTCGGGTTTTCCGCAGAGCAGCGACTGGACCGCTCCGGCTGGCGGGACGGGGCGGGGCAGCGAGCGAGTACATGCGGTCACGTGACCGGCGCCAAAATGGCGGCGCCCATCGGCGTCCACCTGCTCGTCCGTAGAGGTAAGCCCCTGGAGGACATCTCCACGCGGCTTCGCACCGTCGCTCACTCGCTGTGCACTCGAGTTCAAAGGGATACACATTCGTGCTCGCACATCGCGGCGCACACGACTGTAATTCTAGTTCGGATACGCGGAAGCACACACGATGACACGCTGACACACCGCAGATACACAGACTAAACATTTGTCACTTGCCTAGACCACATCACTGCGTGGCGTCTATTCTCAGTCACTCCTTGAGATTTGTGGGACGTTGTCTGAAGCTTTCTTCCCCCACCTGAGTTGACAATATGCTTAGTGCAACAAACGTATTTATTTCGGCTGCTGGGTAATGAACCTGAGGTAACTGAAATGCGCCGGGACACCCAGTTGCCACAGAGAATGCGCTTGTACCTGCTGTTTCTGTCGGCATGCTACAACATGTCTTTTGGGAAACTTGCAAAATGGGATTACGCTCTTCCAGAGACTTAAGGTTTAGAAGAGGAGAAATTATCTCTGGATAGCTCTCAGTAAGTGTTATTCTTGTGTGTGGTGAAATTTTAGTAAATATACAAATACTTATGCAGCTGAATGAGGGAAATCTTCGTTGGATTTGAACTAGTTTATGAATCTTTGTTGGAAAGATGGGGAGCTAACATATTTTGAGAGACTACTTACGTGTCAGGCATGTAGGAATAACAGCATGAGAGGTAAATATTATATTTACACTAAATAACTGTTTATTAAGTACCCTGCAGTACATGATACTGTGCTAAGCACATTATATATGCTAACTACCTTATAAAACCCAATGAGTTATGCATTCTTCTATTTGCAGATGAGAAAAGTGAGAAAGGTTAAGTAATATGACTGACTAGTCGTACAGATTGTAAGAGGCAATATAGGCATTTAAACATGACTGATTTTTTTAAGGCTCATTTCTCTACTGCATGGCATGATTTCTCTATAGAAATCAGTGTGCAAAGTGCAAGTGAGACAGGACAAGAATGATGTGTACACGTGCGTATATGTGTGTATGAAAAGCAAAGAGGAAAATGTTTTTATAGAGGAAGGAGGTTGGTATGCAGAAACCTCAGTATTTCAATGTTAGTGGAGATGAGTAAGGAGCTAGAGAAACATTTAAGGTGAGAGATATGTAAGAGGAAGATGATATAGGTGATAATTTTGAACTGGTTCAATGGAAGAGTGGCATCAACGTGAAAGTGCAGCCATGTGAAAAGAGCACCGATTTACATCTCTTAAGATCTGGGCTCCAGTCCAAACTCTATTTACTAATCAAGTTACTTTTCTGTTTCCTCTTTTGACAATAAATAACGGCAGTTAGACTTCTGTTTTGTGCACTGCAGGGAATGGTGAAGAGGATCTGGGGAGACAGTCAAGGCAGAAGAGGAGGCAAAACACTCATATATACACACACCTATATATGTATGTATGTGTATAGAATACACTCTTTGCAGATTACAGAAATAACATATTAATGTTTTTGTCACTTAGGATTTTGACAAATGCTGGTTCAGACAATCTTGGGAAAAGCTACCATAGGGAAGCCAGGTCAGGATGTTGGTTGCGATAATGCATTCCGCAAAACCCCACAGCACTGCAACAACTGAGAACGGGATCTCATTAGAAGAGGAGGGGAAAATGTGTCATCAGGAAGAGATTTAGTGATGGGGAAAGCCCTTTATGGATTATTCAGAGCTAGTTTTAAATTACAGACAGGTTTCCTGTACTACCTGCTCCCCACCTCCCCTGTCCCCTCAGGTTGAAAATGAAGAGTAAATTCATAAAGTCTCCTCTTTCCTCTCTCTTTTTCCTTTTCACACATTTAGAGTGATGTACCTCAATTTACTGTAAACCTTTATGTGCCAAGATTTACCATCAGCATCTGTGTGTACCTTTCCCCCTGGAAAATGGGAGGAAAACATTTTTTAACCTCCTAAGAAGAGCATAAAGTTTTTCTCATGACTCTCAGGCTCATTGTAGCTTTAGTAACAGTATGCTCTCTATATAGTAGTTACCAGCCTCCTCTCACCTTCTGCACTTCTAGATTGTTAGTTCTTGTTGAGCTGTGTCTTCTCTGTCTTAACAAGCACAATACCTGGCCTGAAGTTAAACTCATTAAAAACATACTGAATGGAGAGACTGTTAAGACTTGTTCTCATGGGCTAAGGGGTGGGTAGAAACTGTGAGTAGTGACATTGGAAAGTACAGATCAGTCTCTTGGAACCAAGAGATAACAGCCTTTTAGGGAGCACAGTATCTGCACATACTAAGTACTCAGTTTCATAACTGAATGAAAGACCTTTCAGAACGGAACCTCCTGTAGAAATATTTGTGCACAAAAGTTATGTGGCCATCCTAAAGATTAATTACCTCAAAATGTCAGTTGTCTTCACGTGACAAGCCAAGACAGTAACTTTATTTCTCTCTCTCTCATCTTCCATCTCTCTCCAAGAACAATTTAAGGCAATTTTACTTATTTATATCTTTTCTTGGCATCTGTGAGAATTTAATTCCAGGTAATTTGAATTGTGAGTCAGATTTATTACAGATTATTAGAAAAAAAGGTTAGAATGGGAGGAGGGAAAAAGTCTTAAAAAAAGAAAAAGAAGCTTGAAATTTAAGCAGTGTAGCCTTGGAAGATAAGGAAGTTGATGAAAGTAAACCCTTGACCTAAGCACTGTCCTGCTATCCTTCCACAGTTCATGTGGAGGAAGCTGAAGCTATTGGCAAGTTCAGCAGAAAGTCTAAGAAAAGCCCGATTGGTGCATGTGAGCAATAGTTTGGCTGTTCCAGAGGGCTACATGGCAATGTGCATCAAGGTATAAGGTATATATACCTTTTATCTAACAATTCTGCTTTTAGGAATTTATCATAAGAGATCAATAGGATGAATGTGCAAAGATATATGAATAATAATGTAACTTAATAATAATTGAGAAATATTGGACAGAATCTAAAATGTCCATTGGTAAGAGAATGGCTAAATAAATTATGGTTCATCCATGCAATGGAGTGATATGCAACCATTAAAAAAAGTGATGTAAATGTATGGTAGACTTAAACAGCGATTGACAGACATATACTGGGGAAAAATAGGCAGGGTATAGAACAGTATATCCCACTTATGTAAAGCACATATCTTTGTTTTCTTATATATACACACATAACAAGATATCAAGAATGATGTTCACCTAAATGTTCATAGCAGTTATTCTAGATGGTGAGATTGGAATGATTTTTACTTTCTTTGCATTTGATGAGTTAGGATTTAAACAGTGAGAAGATAGCAGTTTTGTTATCCAAAGTGGTGATTATACTTTTTTTTTTTACTATGTTAAAAAAGAGAGTGAGAAATTAAAAAAGCACAGAATGTTTGACTGGGGTAAGACCCAGGGGAAAATGTCTGTTACTATGCATACTCTCTGCACCAAAGCAAAATGTCTATGTAATTTGTAATATAGGAAAAGAACATCTTTAAAATTTTCATGATCTAAATGCTAGATGGAAACTACTTCTACATACTCATTACTGTAATTTAAGATGCATATAATGCTACTAATATTATATTATTCTTGGGGTTTTCTTTGTTTTAACAAATGTAAAAAACATTTACAAATGCTTCTGTTTATTCGTGACTCTAAAGCCATAGAGTCTTCCACTGAGAATTCTCTTACCAATAGTAGTTTTTCAAAACTTTAACTTCTACATAGGGGAGGGGCTATTGTACATCATGAAATGAGAACTTTGAATTTTGTCAACTGACCCGAGATCCTTACTATCTTGTATAGCTTCTGCAGAAAAATGTGTTCTATTTTGCCAAACTAACTTAGAATTAAATTTTGGTATGCAGTCCATGTGTGATGTGGAAAATGCTAATGTTAATAAAGGGTTTCCAGTGACTTAAACTCTATTTATGTAGCTAGCTGGAGAATAAAAATGGATTTTTTGTTATATGATATTTTTTAAAGAATACCTCTCAAAACTATTATAATACGGATGGTTATTACATAGGTTAAGATATACTTAATCAAAAGACCTAAATCTAAGACTAGAACCTTAAAACTCCTTGAAGAAGACCTAGGCAGTAAAACCTCCAACATTTCTCTTAGCAATATTTTTTCTGATCTATCTCCTCTGGCAAGGGGAACAAAAGAAATAAATGAACAAATGGGACTACATCAGACTAAAAAGTTTTTGCAGAGCAAAGGAAGCCACTAACAAAACACAAGGATAACACACTGAAGGGGAGAAGATAATCACCAGTGACACATTTCATCGGGAGTTAATATCCAAAATTTCTAAAGAACTCATTCAACTCATACCAAAAAAGAAAAAAGAAATCCAATTAAAAAATGATCAGAGGACCTGAATAGACATTTCTCCAAAGAGGACATTCAGATAGACAGCTAATACATATATGAAAAGATGTTCAAGGTTATTTATCATCAGAGAAATGTAAATTAAAACCCCAATAAGATACCACCCTACACCTGTGAGAAGGGCTATCAATAAATCAACAAACAAGTGTTGATGAGGCTGTGGAGGAAAGGGAACCCTTGTACACTGTTGATGGGAATGCAGATTGGCGTAGCCACTGTGGAAAACAGTATGGAGATTCCTCAAAAACTTAAAAATGGAACTGCCTTATGACCCAGTGATTCCACTTCTGGGTATGTTTCTGAAGAAACCCAAAACACTAATTTGAAAGAATATATGTTCATTGCAGCATTATTTACAAGCACCAAGATATGGAAGCAACTTGAGTGCCAATCAATAGACAAGTGGATAAAAAAGTGATGGTGTATATATCCAGTGGAATTTTACTTGGCCATAAAAAAGAATGAAATCTTACCACTTGTGACAACATGGATGGACCTAGAGGGTGTTATGATAAGTGAAATAAGTCAATCAGAGAGAGACAAATACCATATAATTTCACTTACATGTGGAATCTAAAGAGCAAAATAAATGAACAAAATAGAAACAGACTTAGAGAAA